TGGACTACTGTAACCAGGGGTCATTTCGTAGAAAAAGAGGTGCAGGAGCTCATTAGCATAACTTGTTTGCATATGCCACGCCCCCTGACATCACCGAAAGTGGGTCAGAAGGCAACATCCACCACTCAGGCTCCACTGGACTGTTCTGGATTGCTAGCTATTGGGTGTGTGTGTGTGTGCAGATCTGCCCTCACAGGGGAGGGAGACCTTGTACCTGAAGGGGGGGGGGGCTCTGCAACTTACCTGGCTGCTTCTTCCTCCTGTGACCCGACTGAGGGCTGCTGGGAGCAGGGGGCGAGGCTTGTTGCATGTGCCCGCCCCCTAAGCTCCTTACTGCCGGAGCTCCGCTGCTGTGCGTTCCCGCAGGAAATGACCCCTGACTGTAACACTCTCTACATGGGGCTGCCCTTGTCACAAATTCAGAAGCTGCAGCTAGTGCAGAATGCCGCGGCCAGGATGGTGATGGGCCTCCCTAGATGGGAGCACATCCAGCCTGCGCTGAGGACACTGCACTGGCTGCCAAAGCATACCGAATTCGCTTGAAGCTGCTGGTACTTACCTATAAAGCCCTATATGGCCAGGGTCCGACATATTTGAGGGACCACCTTTCCCTGTACCCCAGAGAGCACTACGGTTGGGGTCTCAAAATCAATTGAACCTCCCGGGTCCCAAGGATGCCAGGCTCCCTACCACCAGGGCCAGGGCCTTCTCAGGGGCGGCTCCATACTGGTGGAATGAGCTCCCGGAAGAGATCAGGGCCCTGCGGGACCTTGCACAGTTCTGCAGGGCCTGCAAGATGGCACTCTTCCACCAGGCTGAGAGCCAGTTTAGTGTAGTGGTTAAGTGCGCGGACTCTAATCTGGGAGAACCAGGTTTGATTCCCCACTCCTCCACTTGCACCTGCTGATGTGACCTTGGGTCAGTCACAAGCTCTGGCACAGCTGTCCTTGAAAAAAGAGCAGTTTGTGTCTCTCAGCCCCACCCACCTCACAGGTTGAAGGGGCCCCCCCCCCCCCCCCACCACCAACTCTCGGCTGCGATGGCCAGCCTGTGGGAAGAACATTGAGAAACCGAAAGACTTACAAAAAGTATGCCGTCTCGTACAATTAGCGGAACATCAACAGCACTTATTACTTGTTACTATTATTATTGAAACTGAATTGTTTCATGCTGATTTTAATTGCTATCTATATATTATGCAATATGTTTTAATGAATGTAAGCCGCCCTGAGCCTGCTTTTCGGGGAGGGCGGTGTATAAGATGAATGATTATTATTATTATTATTAATAATAATAATAATAATAATAATAATAATAATGCTTTCCATTTATTAATCGCTTTCCCCAGTGGGCTCAAAGCGATGTACAGTTACTCATTATAGACAAGGGACTAACAATGTTCGTAGGGGATAGAGAAGACAACATATATTCATTTTTAATTGCACGCGCCGTCACTGCCCGGTGTAGACGTCTTCTGGCTTGGCTCCGTCGTTTTCCGCACGGCTGCTTGTCGACCAGGCTTCAGGACCCGTATGTCAATCGCCACACTGCCACCGCCTGGCTGGAACATCCACTGCAGGGATTCTTCGTAGCCGAGAAGTACTTTCGCCTTTTTCCGAACCTCGACCAGGACGTCCGACCGTCAGCTAACACCCTCCCACAAGGGAGATTGGCGTGCCCACCCTCTCTAAGAAGTGGTTCCCATTTTATCTACTCGCCAAAGCTTTTGAATCGCTGGGTGGGCGATGAGCTGGGGACAACAGGCTGGCTGCTCACACCAGTGCGGGGCTCGAACTAACACAGTTCGGATGTTAAAACAGTGGGATATACCCACCGTGCCACCGCTCCCCAAATAAAATAAATTAATCACTCATGGGCTGAGCCTCACATCTCCTTGCCTGGCTTCCCTGCAACTGAAAGAGCTGCCGAAAAGCTCTGTGGCTGCGCGGTAGCCGTGTCGGCGGCTTCATTTCCTTCTCCCTTGCAAAACAGTAAAAATCCCAGTAGCACCTTTAAGACTAACAGACTGTTGTGCGGAGGGGAAGGGAGTTTGTAAGCCGCTCTGAGTGAAGGGCGGGGTATAAATCCAATCTCCTCTTCTCTTCTTCTACCTATGCAGCAGGAGGTATCAGTTCTCTCTCTCCCAGGGTCCTGGATGGTTGTGCAAAGTGCCTAAATGACACTGGGGCAGGGAAACTCTCTCATTTCCAACAGGGTTGCTCTGAGAATACAGTGGAGGAGAATGATGCAAGCCCCTTTGGGTCCCCACTGGGGTGAAAGGCAGGGTTATGAATAAAATAAATAAATGTCCCAGTCCCGGGACTTACCGTACACACCCCCAACGACCCCCAACTCACCCAGTAGACCCATGGACCGAGAAGATCTTGCAATGCCAGACCCAGTCAGCGCAGCCGAGGCACAACGGTCTGGACCAGTCCGACCGTGAAGCAAAGAGTCCCCAGGAGCAGCAGGAGAGGCCGACGACGCCAGGGAGAGGCTGACAGCGAACACACGAGACCCTGCACACTGGTGGCGGCTGCGCAGCCCCAGGCCGACAAGACCGCCACCAGCATAGCTCCGACCACACCCAGGCCGTAGGGACGGTGTCGGAGCTTATCATAGGGGGCGGGGCTGGGATGAACGAGAGAAAGGCGGGGACGGGAGGCGGTGCTGGAAGAGGGAGCTGGGTATAAAGGAGAGGGAAGCGAAGGGTCTGGGGAGGAAGGACGTGCTCGGAACTACCTGAAGCTGGCAGAGAGAGAGAAGGAGCCCAGGGACGACGCTGAGAAGCCAGCGCATGGAGGTAGAGGGACTTACGGAGTGCCGTCAAACTCCGTCCCCTACCTATCTGAAGCCCCAACGCCTCTTCTTTACAGGCCTCAACTTCCGGAGCCGTCAGACCTCCCCCGTCTTGAATCGTCACGGCCACGGAAAGGTCTACGCCAGTGTTCCCTCTAAGCTGAGTTAGTGTGAGCTAGCTCACAGTTTTTTAGCCTCCAGCTCACACATTTTTGTCTTTGCTCCGGAAGGAGGGCTCCGGAGCAAACTAATTCATGCAGTAGCCAAATCGCTCGCTCACAACTTTAATGCCAGTGGCTCACAAAGTAGAATTTTTGCTCACAAGACTCCACAGCTTAGAGGGAACATTGGACTCTATGCCCCGAGCCCGAGGCAGGCTTGACAATAAAATAAAGGTGGGTAGATGGATGGAGAGTAGGAGGGGAAGGCAGTGTGGAATAACAGGGTCGATACTTGGGAGACCTCCAAGGCAAGCCACCTCTGCTGCTCACTTGCTTTGAAAGCCCTTTGCTGGCACCACCATTTACCAGCTGTGCCTTGACAGACACAGATGGACGGAGAAGATAATCCCCAAACAGAAGGGATTCGGGGCACCGGGAGAGGAATCTCCCCATTTGCAAGGCTACCAGAATGGATCACACAAACGTGCTTAAATTCTGCAGACAGCGGAGTTCACCTTTGTACGCACCTCTGGCTCACCGCTCAGGATTCTGCCAAGGATCCGAGACGTCCCCACAGCGCAGTCGCCGATCCATTCGCTCTTGAAGAAAAGCCTGGAAAAAGCCCCTCCCCCCCTCCCTGGGATACTGACAAATGGAAAGACTTTGGTGCTGGAACGTCTATTTTATTCTGTAACAAATGACATTACAAAAACCCCTGTCTGATCCTGACAGCGGCTTCCACCGCGGGGCCATAAACTTCACTCTGTGATCAATATATACGACGCGCTGACGAGCTTCACCTTTATGCTAAAGCCATTAATGGAACCAGACACCCGGAAAGGGAGTCGGAGCAAGGCCCGCACGGCCCAGAAATCTAACGCGGGAGAGACAAAGGCCACGCTGTGTGCCTCTCCTTCTGTTCCTCCTCCGAGGTTGCCCCCTTATCTCGGACTCTACCTGGACATCGCCAGGAGCCACCCCAACGGCAGCTTCTCTGCACTTTCCGTCCCTTCCCTTCCCTGTAATGTTTAGTTCAGCACAGTGCACCATGGGATGCCATGGAATGGGGAATGGCCCAATCAGGCCTGTCGCTACAGCGGGGCATCTCGGGGCCTGGCCCCCTGACTCCCCGCCAAGCCCCCCCCCGACTTCCCATCCAGCCCAGGCGCTCCCTTGGGGGTGTGTACGGAGTGCCCCCTGACTTAAAGGTCCCCCGAATTAAAAAATCCTAGCTACGGGCCTGGGCCCAATTCTCTGCTGTACCTACAAATCCACACCGTTGTCATCTGGGAAAGCCGGCAGGCAGCACCGCAGGGCTGGAGTACGACAGGTCTCTTCCTTGGTCAAGAGAAGGCCGACTGCAAAACCCGAGCTGTGCTCCCCCTCCCCGCTAAACCCAAGCCCCCAACTTTGGCTCGAGTGGTGAGCAGAGGACGGCGACTCCTGGCACGCCGCAATCTCCAAACCAAAGTCCCAGCGCCGCCGTCTCGCTCCCGTTTCAGAACCACACACAGTTTTGACGACTCTGCGGCACGATGAGATGAACGGGGGCCCCCGGTTCCGCAACGCGATAAACGAACGGAAGCGGGAAGGTGGCGCGGTTTGGGGGCAGCGCGGGTCCTCCGTCCTGGACAGCCCCCGTTGCTACCGGCAGCCTCATTCTCTCGGAGCCTTCCCCGCTTCTGCGATCCCAGCAGCCACGGCCCTCTCCTCCCAGTCCGGGCCCCCTGGCCGTTCCCAAAGAGAGGGGGTGCTCGGGTCTAGGCATCCCACCTCTGAGCCCTTGGAATTGACGAAGCAGTAGAGGGGAGGTCCTGTCCTACAGGAGCAGCAGGGCCTCTGCAAGGGCCTAGCCTGGAAATGCCCAAAAGGCACATCGGCCTGCCTGTTGCTGCAACCTTCTAGTCCACAGTCTTTGGCAGAACGAGGCCCCGAGGGACCAGACCCCTGGGGTGGGATGCAGCTGGCACGGCAGGAAAAGCTGAAAAGTTGATTCCCGCCAGCCGGGACTGCACTGACAGAAAACCTTTGCACCCCCGGGGACGCGTGGAGGGCCCCCACCGCTTGGGCTAGAATACGTCAAGGCTGAGTCTCTTCCTTTGGCCACCCACAAGAGCTTCCGCTTCTCCGAGAGCTGGTTCTCGCCCTCAACTGGGTCTCAGCCCCACCAGCTCCTCTCGGCAGGGCTCCCATCTCCCCGCGTTTCCGAAGGACGCCCGTCCGGTTGGGACCCGGGAGCGGGCACGCCTGCCCGTCTGTCCCCCTCTCTGCTCGGCCCCCCTCACTGCAGCTCGTCCAGCAGGCGTTGCACGTTGTCCGTGAACTCGTCCCGCTTCTTCCCCATCCCGCTCAGCCGCACCGGGCGCAGGCTCGGGTGGGGGGGCTCGTAGGCCCGGGGGCACCAGACCTCGCCGAGGAACAGCCACGCCGCATCCGGGTCCATCTGCATCAAGTGGAGGAAGACGCTGCGGAGACAGGAAAGGGGGCGGCAGTTGAACGGGAGGGTCGGGGGCTGTGTCCATCAGAGAAAGGGCAGGCCTGGCAGGCGTGCTCCTTGGAGCCTGGATTTATACAGCTGCCTTCTACTGAACCAGCCCCTGGTCCAAAAGGGTTGGTATCGCCTACTCAGACTGGCCGTGGCTTGCCGGGGCCCCAAATGGAGGTCTTTCACATCACCTACTGCCAGATCTTTTAACTGGGGATACGAGGGATTGAACCTGGAGCCTTCTGCATGCAAAGGAGACACTATGGATAGCCCAGGCTAGCCTGATCCCATCAGATCTCAGAAGCTAAGCAGAACCGGCCTTGGCACCACACAAGAACATCAGAGAAGCCAATGTTGGATCCGGCCAGTGGCTCCTCCGGTCCAACACTCTGTGTCACACAATGGCCGAAAATACCAGGGGCCCTCAGGAGGTCCAGCAGTGGGGCCAGGACACTAGAAGCCCTCCCACTGTTGCCCCCCCGTCCCAAGCACCAAGAAGACAGAGCATCCCTTGCCCCAGACCGAGACTTCCTCTCTATACTTTGTGGCTAATAGCCACTGATGGACCTCTGCTCCAGATGCTTATCCAGTTCCCTCTTATAAGAACGTAAGAGAAGCCAGTGTTGGGTCAGACCAGTGGCCCATCCAGTCCAACACTTTGTGTCACACAGGGGCCAAAAATACCAGGTGCCATCAGGCGGTCCAGCAGTGGGGCCAGGATACAAGAAGCCCTCCCACTCTTCCCACCCCCCAAGCACCAAGAAGACAGAGCATCCCTTGCCCCAGCCTGAGAGTTCCTCTCTATGCCTTGTGGCTAAGAGCCACTGATGGACCTCTGCTCCATATCTATATACTAATAGCGAAGCCGCCCCCTATGTGCGGATATCTAAATCCACACATCGGGGGCACCTGAGGGGCAGGGAGATTTTCTCCTTAGCCACAAGGAGATTTTCCTGCGCACGTGGGGCAATGCCCAGGTGTGCAGAAAAATATGAAAAGTTGGAAAAATATTTAAATTACCTAAAAAGTAAAAAATAAAAGAGCGTTCCCTACATATGCGCAGAGAACTCTCTGGGAACTGGCGGGCCGGCGGCTGGAAGGCGCTCAGCTCTCGCCCCCGGAGCTGGGGTGGGGGAAGGAGATCGGCGGGGCCCAAGCCGGGGGGGGGAGGAGATTGGGAAGCCCGAGCGGCCGGAAGCCACTCAGACCTCACCACCGGAGCGGGGGGGGGGGGGAAGGGGGGGGGGGGGGGAGGGGAGGGGAGAGACCATTGCAGGGCACAAAGCCACAGAGTCCACCCGCCAAAGCAGCCATTTTCTCCAGGGGAACTGATCTGTCAGCTGGAGACCAGCTGTAACAGTGGGAAATCACCAGGCCCCACCTGGAAGCTGGCAACCCAAATCCAGAAAGTAGAAAGAACCCCCCCGCGAGTATCGCGGGTCCCCTTTCTTGTGCTTATCTAATTCCCTCTTGAAGCCGTCCATGCTTGTAGCCGCCACCACCTCCTGTGGCAGTGAATTCTGTTCTTCTGCAACCAGGCACCCCGGAGAGGGGAGGGAGGGGACTTCCGGGGGCCGCGAGTGGCCTGCTTTGGTCTCGGCATGGGCCACGGTTGCCCAAGAGCAGGGCCGGCATGCGATGGTTCATCTGCCCCGGCCCAGGGGTTCTGCCAGGGCCCACTGCCGCTGACCTTGCCCTGCAGACCTTCTCTGCTGCCTGCTGGCCTGCCTTTCCCTCACCCGCTTGCCTGCAAGTGTTTCACCTCCCGTGCTCCAGGGCTGCCTGGTATCAGCACTGCAACTTACGGTCCCAGTAGGGACCCTCCCAACTCTGTGATCCTACAAAAAGAACGCGTAGGAATGGAGGCTTTCTGCTTCAGGGGACCGAATGAACTCTTCTCTCCAGCCTGAGCATCGGACACCCGGCCTGGCAGTTTCTTCCATTACTTCAGAAAAAGATCCCAATAAAGGAAAACTGTATCCTAACTGCACTCAATTAATTTTTAAATATTAAAGTGAACAGGATACAAACATTATTCGTGAAATACAAAATACATAGTAAAGGTAAAGGTTCCCTTGCTCGAAAGCCAGTCGAATCCGACTCTAGGGTTGCGGTGCTCATCTCCGTTTCAAAGCCGAAGAGCCAGCGCTGTCCGAAGAAGTTTCCGTGGTCATGTGGCCAGCATGACTAAACACCAAGGCCCACAGAACGCTGTTACCTTCCCACTGAAGTGGTCCCTATTTATCTACTTGCAATTTCTTGCTTTCGAACTGCTAGGTTGGCAGGAGTACATAAGAGGAGTACAAAAGTAAGAAAGGATTTATTATTACAATATTGTTGATTATGGGTACAATTACCATGGATTCTGATGCAGTATTGTTATCAATGTTATTCTACAAGGTTCTTTGTTTTCCTTCATCTATTCAGAAGAAGATATCTTTCGAAACGGTTGAACATTCTGGAGATTATCGTTAACAACCTATACAACAACCAATAACTGTTGAATACCTGTATATATTTTGTATTCATCTTATGCATTTTGTACTTCACAAATAATTTTTGGATCCTGTTCATTTTAATATTTAAACATTAATTGAGCGTAGTTAGGATACAGCTTTTCTTTATTGGGATCTTTTTCTGAAGCACTTTTTGGCTGTTACCATCTACTTTAAGCTAGTTTCTTCCATTAGACATGTAGGGAGCTCTGACTTGTCTGGGGGAGTACTTGGCTCCATAAAAAGCTCACAGCCCCTTGCTCTGCCCTTGTTATTAGGAGCCGACAGAGGTGACTCATGATCAATGCTCCCTCTAAGCTGTGGAGTCCTGTGAGCAAAAATTCTACTCTGTGAGCTCCTGGCATTGAAGCTGTGAGCGAGTGATTTTTGGCTACTGCATAAATCAGTTTGCTCTGGAGGGACCCATCCTTGCTGAGCTATGACAGAAATGTGTGAGCCAGAGGCTAAAGAACTGTGTGTTGGCTCACACTAACTCCTCTTAGAGGGAACACTGCTCCCAGCTCTGTGATTCTACGAAAAGAACTTGTAGGAATGGAGGCTTTCTGCTTAAGGGGACGGAATTAACTCTTCTCTCCAGCCTGACCATCGGACACCCGGCCTGGCAGTTTCTTCCATTAAACATGTAGAGAGCTCTGACTTGTTTGGGGCAATACTTGGCTCCATAAAGAACTCACAGCCCCTTGTTCTGCCCTTGTTATTAGGAGCCGACAGAGGTGACTCAGGAGCAGTGCTCCCTCTAAGCTGTGGAGTCCTGTGAGCAAAAATTCCACTCTGTGAGCTCCTGGAATTGAAGCTGTGAGTGAGCAATTTTTGGCTACTGCATACATTAGTTTGCTCTGGAGGGACCCATCCTTGCTGAGCTAAGACACAAGTGTGTGAGCTGGAGGCTAAAAAACGGTGAGCTGGCTCACACTCACCCAGCTTAGAGGGAACACTGCCCGGGACACATGCGGGTGGGGGTGGGGGTGATGGCCGGTGTCCCTGGCCAGCAAGCATTCAGCAATTCCTGCCTTGCTCCCTCCTGTGTAATGTGCGCCTTTAGATCAAACTACTTTTTCTTGGTCTTGTCAATAGTGATTTCCTTCTCTTTTTACTGATCGGGTGACTGGGGATTCTTCTGCCACCCTGGAGGTGATTCCCTGACACTCTTTTACAGCTGGATCAATGCGAGCGGATGTTAATTTATACCAGTCGCTTTGCAATCCATACTTTTGATCCCTGACAATGGGGGGGGGGGGTTTCAACAACCAGCAGCGCCTTGCCATTTCAAGAATCTAAGAATGGAAGAAGAGCCCTGCTGGATCGGAACGGTGGTCCACCTTGTCCAGCATCCTTTTGTACCCACTGGCCAACCAGTTCCTCTGGAGGGCCAGCAACAGGGCACAGAGGCTGAGGCCTTTATAGGAACATCAGAAGAGCCCTGCTGGATCAGACCAGGGGTCCATCTAGTCCAGCATCCTGTCTCACACAGGGGCCAACCAGTTCCTCTGGAGGACCAACAACAGGGCAGAGAGGCCAAGGCCTTCATAAGAAGAGCCCTGTTGGATCAGACCAGTGGTCCATGTAGCCCAGCATCCTGTCTCACACAGGGGCCAGGAGGTGAGAGGTGTCTGCTCCAGGAGGTGAGAGGTGTTCCTCGCTTGGGGTCACAGAATACCTAGATTAACCCTGACCAACCCACAACCCTAAGTCCCTTGCCTTCTGCTTATCCTTAAGAAGATAAGAAGAAGAGCTCCGCTGGATCAGACCAGTGAGGGCCCCTCTAGTCCAGCATCCTGCCTCACACAGGGGCCAACCAGTTCCTCTGGAGGACCAACAACAGGGCAGAGAGGCCAAGGCCTTCATAAGAAGATAAGAAGAGCCCTGTTGGATCAGACCAGTGGTCCATGTAGCCCAGCATCCTGTCTCACACAGGGGCCAACCAGTTCCTCTGGAGGGCCAACAACAGGGCAGAGAGGCTGAGGCCTTCATATGAACATCAGTCCTGCTGGATCAGAGCAGTGACGGTCCATCTAGTCCAGCATCCTGTCTCAAACAGTGGCCAACCACTTCCTCTGGAGGGCCAACAACAGGGCATAGAAGCCGAGGCCTTCAAATAAGAACATCAGAAGAGCCCATCTGGATCAGACCAGTGAGGGTTCATCTAGTCCAGCATCCTCTTTCATACAGTGGCCAACCAGTTCCTCTCGCGGGCCAACACAGGTCATAGAGGCTGAGGCCTTCCCCTGATGTTGCCTCCTGGCACTGGGAGTCAGAGGTTGACTGCCCCTGAATGTGGAGGTTCCCTTTAGCCACCATGTCTCATAGCCACTGATGGACCCCCTCCTCTGTGAATTTATCCATCACTACATCCACTAGCAGGGAAACCTGCAAGTTCATGACATTCTTTTAGCTGTCATTTTTATTCATTTTTGCATTCAGAGTCCTACCCTCCAGGCAAAGCGGATTTTAAAAACAACAACTGTAAATACAGGATTATTAAGGCAGTTTGCGTTTTGGTAGCAGAGGTTTCTGGTGGGCACAAAGTACTCTGGACGCTTGGATAAGAGCTACGCAAATGCTCACTATCGTTAATTACTTTCATTTACTGGGAGTGGTAATAATGCTGCCCTGGGAGAGAGCAGTTAGTCCTCCTCGTATCAGGCACCCACACTTCCTCTTTTAAACCAGTTTTATCCAAATATGCCACATAATGCAAAGAACTACGGTTCGTTTAACTTTAGTTGTGTTTTCATGCAAAGCCGCAGATTTGGAGATTATGTTGCTTACAGCTGTGCAAATAAGAGGATGATTTCTGGCAGAATTGTTAGTGTATCATCGTCTCCAGGGGTCATTTCATAGAAAAAGAGGTGCAGGAGCTCATTAGCATAACTCATTAGCACAATTTATTTGCATAGGCCACACCCCCTGACATCACTGGAAGCTCAGGCTCCACTGGACTGTTTTGGATTGCTAGCTATTGGGGGGGGGGGGTGCAGATTTGTCTTCGCAGAGGAGGGAGAGCTTGTACCTGAATAAAACTTGGTCTTAAAGGTGCCACTGGACTGTTTTGGATTGCTAGCTATTGGGGGGGGGGAGTGCAGATCTGTCCTCGCAGAGGAGGGAGAGCTTGTACCTGAATAAAACTTGGTCTTAAAGGTGCCACTGGACTGTTTTGGATTGCTAGCTATTGGGGGGGGGGAGTGCAGATCTGTCCTGAGGGAGAGCTTTTACCTGAATAAAACCTGGTCTTAAAGGTGCCACTGGACTGTTTTGGACCAGGGGGGCTGGGGGGAGCTCTACAACATACCTTCTACCTGGTCCTTTAACGGAAGACCTGGGACCTTCTGTGTGCCAAAGCAGATGCTCCACCACCGAGCCACGGCCCCTCTGCACAGCGTTCTCCCTTCTCCCCTGTCCCTGAGGCAGGTAGCCTCTCCCGCCTCTCTCTCCCCCAAGGACAGCCTGCTCTTCACAGGAATGGCAGAAACGGGCTTGCTGCGTGGGCTTTGGGCTGACGTATCAGCAGGGTGGAGTGCAAATCTCCCTACCTTTTCCAAGAGGAGGTGTTGTTTTTTTAAATTTAATACAATGGATGGTCTTAATTGCATGACTTGCTCGAAACACAACGTACCTGTGGGCAGCTGCTTGCAACTTCACGGGCTGTTTCGCGCTGAGGTAGGGCAGGCAGGTCTCTGCCACCTGATGGAGGTCGCTCTCATCTGCAGGGATGGAGGGGAGAGAGACAAATGCGTCAGCAGGAGGCCACTCCCCCCGCCCCGTCCATACGGCCCATGCCCAAGCGGGAAGAGGCCCGTTTGTCTCGGAAGGCGAGGCGGATGGGCCAGGTGGGATGCCGATGCTGGCTGACCGAGACAGGCCCTTGGGAGTGGAGAGAAGCAGCTTGGGCGGTAAACTACTGAATTTGACATATAGACGTGACCCACAGCTGGAGACCTCACAGAGCCATGAGCTTCTAGCTCTAGTGCAGGGGTGTCGAACTCATTGGTTATGAGGGTGTGTCATAAAATGTAATAAAAACTGGGGGGGAGGGGAGGTGGGGGAACTCAACCTAAGATATATCTGCGAACCAAGAGGGTCAAGCTAACACTATATAATATAAAAAATACAAATGTTTATTAAGGTGTACACATGTTAAAACATACTATGATTAAAAGAGAGTCTAAATTTCAGACCTTTAAAAGCTTCTCAAATACAAATACACGTGAAGGGTTCTCTACATTACACTGACACACATCCAAAATGCACGTATAAAAACTTTTTGATGGAGGTGACACACATCCAGACCAATGAAATCCCTGATACCAGGATAATCTGAAGAATCGGCATGGCTATATTTATGGCCCAACATATAAGCTAGTAGCATAACTAAAAACATATAAGGAAACAACATCTGGTTCTATCTATCTATCTATCTATCTATCTATCTATCTATCTATCTATCTATCTATCTATCTATCGAAATACATACATATATACATATACATACACACAAAAACCTTTTATACGTGTATTTTGGATGTGTGTCAGTGTAATATAGAGAATAGTGACCACTGAGGACGGCCTGAAGGGGCCGAAACGTGTTTGGTCCTAAGTTAAAAAGTGTTTACCTGTCAAGTGTATTTGTATTTGAAAAGCTTTTAAAAGTCTGAAATTTAGACTCTTTCTTTTAATCATAGTATGTTTTAACATGTGTACACCTTAATAAACATTTGTATTTTTCATAAAAGGTAATGCCAGGTAGCAGAGATATAAACTTTATAAAGGACACAAACACAAAGGTGTTTTTTTTTAACTTAAAATAAAAACATGCTTAAAACATTAGCTCTGCAAGCCGCAACCCTACTTTTGATCTATCGACATTCGCCACGGAAATCTCATGCTCAGAGTTCTGAGTCGAGGACCCAGGTCAAACCATGAAACGGCTGAGTGAGTGAGAGAGTCTGGCGAAGCAAGCGATGATGCAGCAGCAGCAGCAGAACTGGAAGCAGGAGACGGCCAGTTCCATTGCGGGCCTGACAGAATCCCTTCCAGGGGGGCATAATCTGGCCCCCGGGCCACATGTTTGACACCCCTGCTCTAGATGCCATCCGAAAGACACAGAAGAGGGAAAATGCCGTTAAAATGTTACACACCCCCTGGCATCTTTCCCCTGCCAGACTGGCAAGAGTATAGACAGGAGTTAGGAATCAGTGCTGGCACTCATCATGCACCTTTCTCCTGATTTTGCTCAGCACGGGCGGCAAGCGGGGGGACGGGGGGAAAGTGAGTGTAATAATAATAATAATAAACTTTATTGTCATTGTACATAGTACAACGAAATTAAGATGCAATCATTCGGTGATCTACAACCATACTCATATACACTCACACAACCATTCTCAACCATTCCTAGGTAGAGCTCTGCAGGGTACTGATGCCCAACAAGTGGAAATCTTCTGTTTTCTGAGATTTCAACAAGCGTTGCCCGTGCTTTTGCAAGCACATCTTACTAACACGAGGATTCGAAACTTGGTTCTGAGGCTCTACATCTGACAACAGCACTACAGATAAGATTAGAATCCACATGCAAAAGAACCTCCTCAGGAAACAATCCATATGCAAAAGAACCTCCTCAGGAAAGCTCCTCCATTAGCATGTTCGTAGCCTGGGGAACTCCTACAAGATAATGACTCAGCCCTAACCCACCCTCTGGAGGAGATATAAATTACCTGCCTACCATTTTGCTTCTCACCTTGACACAGAGAGTCCTCCTACTTTCTCTGTGATACCTCTGAGGATGCCAGTCACAACTGCTGGCAAAACATCAGGTCCTACAATGCCAAGACCACAGCCAGACAACCTGGAAAATCTACAACAGCTAATTGGTTCTGAGCGTTTGTCTGTATAAACTAACGCCAATGCTCTGAAGAAACTGAACACTCTGCCTAGCATTCCTGTTCTCCAAGGAACTGTGACCTGCATGCGCACAGCCACGTCTAACAGGAGGCAGAGGCCGAAGTCTGCTGAGGAACTCGGGTACAAGAGAGGCAGCAAGCGTTTGCCAGTCCAGAAATGCAGAATGGGTTCTGCGTCCAAGATTGATTCTCTTGCTGACCTTCACTGCCTCCAAAAGACCTATTTTCAGAGCCTTCCTGTATCTCGTGGCTTCCCATACAACAGCCAAACCTAAGAATCCCGGACAGGATGGGAGAAAGACCTGAACCCATAACAGTAACCGTCCCACCACCAGTCCCCCCCCCCCCAATTTTGGATACTCACCAAGGTCCAGCGCTTGGCAGAGGGAGCCCAGGCCCCGAAGCACGGCGAGCTGCAGCTTGAAGGCCAGGGTGTGGCTGTAGATGGGCCCGCTGCGGGCACTGACTGGCGCCTGGGTGGCAAGGGAGCCCGCCAGCTTGGGCAGGACGTCCTTGGAGAATCGCCGCCGCAGGAAGTCCCCGCTCCTGGCTCCTAACGCGCACAGAACCTGCCGGAGAGGTCCTCCTTTAGAGAGATGCCACCAAACGCTCCCTGCTGCCTACAGAATCCGTGCCTTCCCTCTGTCCTGCCAAATGGAAGCAGCGGCAGCAGCATCTTGGAGCCTCCCGTATTAATTAAATTGATTATTATTGCTCCGGATTTCAAGCCTAGATCTAACGGGTGGAAGTTACAAGGGAGTCGTTACCGGCTAAATATCAGGAGAGACTTCCTGACTGCAAGAGTGGTTGAGCAGTGGGACAGACTGCCTCGGGAGGTGGTGGATGCTCCTTCGCTGGACGTTTTCAAGCGGAGGCTGGACAACCATCTTTCGGGTAGGTTGTAGGGCTGTCTTTCGGCTATGCTCCTGCAGAGTGCAGGGGGTTGACCTGCAAGGTCCCTTCCAACTCTAATGTTCTATGATTCTAAGGTCCAGGGGTCATTTCGTAAAAAGAGGTGTAGGATCTCATTAGCATAACATTTGCATATGCCACACCCCCTGACATCACCGGAAGTGTGCCAGAAGGCAACACCCACCGCTCAGGCTCCACTGGACTGTTTTGGATTGCTAGCTATTGGGGGGGGGGGGCACGGCCTCGCAGAGGGAGAGCTTGTACCTGAGGGTGGGCTGGGGGGGCGCCTCTGCAACTTACCTGGCTGCTTCTTGCTCCTTGTGGCCCGACTGAGGGCGGGTGGGGGGAGGGGGGGGGGCTTGTTGCATGTGCCCGCCCCCCCTGGGCTCCTTACTGCCGGAGCTCCGCTCCTGAGCGCTCCCGCAGGAAATGACCCCTGCTAAGGTCTCAGATTAAAATACCACCAACCGTCCACTGGAGCAGGGTGGCTGGAAGACACAGCGGTTGCCTGAAATGTTTTGACACCTGAGGCGGAAACCCTGCCTATCTTCCTGCTAATTTACCTGGGACACACAGTCCTTTGGGCCTTTCTCCCAGGGAAGGAGGCAAGTCAGAATTGTGGAAGAGGACCAGCCCACCTCTGAGCCGCCATCATTTCCTAGGGCACAGGGGGAATGCGCAGCGTATAGCCTGTGGGGCAGATGTACCCCCTGGGCAGGGGCTGTGGGTCCTCTAATCGGAGCATGCAGAAGGCCCCAGGTTCAGTCCCCGGCGTCTCCAGTTAAAAGGACCAGGCAGGAGGTGATGTGAAGGATCTCTCTCTGCCTGTGACCCTGGAGAGCGGCTGCCAGTCAGAGTAGATGCCACTGACCTTGATAGACCGAGGGTCTGATTCAGGATTGTATAGAAATATTTATTTCTATAAGTCTCATGCCTTCTCCTGTGATGACATTCTATGTTTCCTGTGCAGGCCAAATGGTCCAGGGCAGACCAGATGGCCTGAACAACCTCAACAGCCATGCCATATAACCACATATTCTTTCACACCTCTAAGTGGAAGAGCTAGACTTCAAGGCGCCTGCTTTAAGGCTACATGGGCCATGTCATGTACATCATGGAGAAGCTGGAAGCTGGGTCACCTGACTGCAGGAGGAGTTCCCAAACTTCTAGCCTATCCCCACACGTAGCCATGACAACCAACAATTGGGCACACCCATGCCCACTCGCAATTGGTTAATAGCCACAGCTAATTTGTGACTGGAATTGGGCTATAATTGTTTGATCTCAATGAGAGAGACGCTCTCTTGCTCTTGCTCTCTGCTCCTGTTCTCTCTGCTTTTTTTACTGCACCTGAAATGCAGCCCTTGAGGGACAAAGGGTGGCTTTGTGGATGCATGCTTGCACAAGATGGGATTCCTACTCAAAATCCCTTGGTGCTAACTGGATTATCACAATGGACAATTTTGAACTGTTTGGATATTCCTGAACTTGGTAAATATGTATCTTTTACTGTGTAGTTAAGGCAAATCGCCTTAGGCTTGTTATTTTGGTAAACTCTGGTAGTCTGTGCTAAGCTCTGTACTAAATAAAGATTCCTCTGATTGTTAAAATTGCCTTTGATGTTGTACCTGAATTCCAAGGCTAAATCTTGTGGCCTAAACACTCACCATATACGCTATTATGGGAGAGTAAAAAGTGTGCATCTGTGGGAGTGAGTTGATAATGCGTTAAGCTCCAGATACCAACTGAGAGTTTGAACCTCTAATCTCAGGTTGGGGGGAACTTCTGTAGAGGTTCTGGTGGCATATGGTTCTGAAAACCAGAGAGGGTATAGACTACCTCTTGAGTTATTGTTTAATGTACTGAAAAGTACAGGATTCCCTCCCATTCCTGGACTGGCTTGGGTGGGAAATACCTGTACAAGAATAAGGTAGCTTCGTGTGTACATGGAAGAACCTCTGTTTGCCTGCAGAAGGTCTCAAGTTCAATCCCCACGAGCATCTCCAGTTGAAAGGACCAGGCAGGAGGTGATGGGGAAGACCTCCGCCTGAGACCCTGGAGAGCGGCTGCCAGTCAGAGTAGACAATATCAACCTTGATGGGCCGAGAGTCTGGTTCAGAAGGCAGTTTCGAGTGCTCATGTGCCATGAACACATTGAACTTTCTGATGAAGTCACACTAGGCCACCACCAGCCGTGTGTCACAAGAGGACAGGAAGGGGAGAAACCAAGGCAGACCGAGCTTGTGGCATTCTTAGGGGCGTCGCTCAGGCCTTGGCCCAGGAGGAGGCCAGGTGCTTCATCACATTCTTAAAGCATTTCAGGAGCGACTCAGATCCAGCCTTAGCTGCCCCGAGAGCCTTCCCATTCGGACAGGGTATCATTTCAAACACTCATTTCTCTTTTCTTATTCATGCATTGAGAACATTCATTGGCCACCTGCCTTCCACATGTAGCTCAAGGCGGCTTACAATATCAATAGAATACATAAATCACATTAAACCCCCCCATAATTTAAAATCAGTTTAGGACTGCAAGAACATTATTCAAATGTGGTCCTAACAGGGCTCTTTTTGTAGAAAAAGCCCAGCAGGAACTCATTAGCATAATAGGCCACACCCAACAGCAGGAACTCATTCGCATATTGGGCCACACCCCTGACCGCAAAGCTCATTAGCATGCCATGTTACCATAAGTGTGGTCACCCAGCCACACCCACCTTTTGCTTCTTATTCTGTTTACCTTGTCTGTTGTCCAAACCCAGGGCTTTTTTATAGCAGGAACTCCTTTGCATGTTAGGCCACACACCCCTAATGTAGCCAATCCTAATGAGTTCCTGCTGTTGGGTGTGGCCTATTATGCTAATGAGTTCCTGCTGGGCGTGGCCAACTTGGGAGCCAGCCGGAACTCCGTTCCTGTGCGTTCCTGCCCCAAAATAGCACTGGTCCTAAATAAAACTGTCTTCAACTGCCTCCTAAAGATTGACAGTCTCAAATAACACTCCCAAGATGTACATCTGGCTTTTCAAGGTGAGTATAACCCCATGCAAGACAGGAGAGATCTAAAGTCCCTGGCCTGCCTTTCTACCAACCCAGAGAACTTTGGTCCTGTCTGCGTTACGTTTCGGCTTCTGCACTCTCATCCAGCCCATTACTGACTCCAAGAATCACAGTTAGGTAGAGTAGTAGAAGATTGGATTTATATCCCACCCCTTCCCTTGGAGTCTCAGAGCGGTCCTTCCCTTCCCCTCCCCATGACAGACACCCTGTGAGGTAGGTGGAGCTGAGAGAGCTCTGAAAGAACTTGCGACTGACCCAAGGTCACCCAGCTGGTTGCATGTGGAGCAGTGGGGAACGAAACCTGGTTCTCCTAGATTAGAGTCCGCTGCTCTTAATTAACCACTACACAAAACTGGCTAGAGCTGGGTATCAGCTACATATTGGTGGCACATTAACAGCCTAACAGAAATGCCTACTTACAAAAGCAGGCTTATTGCAAAAGCCCAATTGATCACGGGAACAGGCCTTTCCAACGCGACAGGCCCCAGTCCTCTCTGAGCAAAGCCAGCCGCTTTTCCTTTCTGCATGGATCTGCTCCAAGTTTGGGCTGTCTCAATTAATCACACGGACTCAGAAACCTTCATGCCGTCTGTCCAAGCCGGTTGCGGAGGGCTCAGGTGCGATGTAGAAATGTGGCCGGCATGACTAAACACCAAGGCGCACGGAACGCTGTTACCTTCCCACCAAAGTGGTACCTATTTATCTACTTGCAATTTCTTGCTATTCGAACTGCTAGGTTGGCAGGAGCTGGAACTAGAGACGGGAGCTCACTCCGTCTTGCGGCACCCGGGTCTCGAACTGCTGAACTACTGACCTTCCACAGCCTGCAGTTCAGCGTCTTAACCACTTGAGCCACCACAGCTACATCTTTTTGTAAACAGGGCACTAAATAAAATAAAAAGGAAGCCGCCCATCTCAGAGGACTGAAAACACTGAAAGCCTCAATCTTACTCCCATGCAAGCCCTGCTATCAGGATCGGGGCCCACCAGGAGGCTTGGTGCTGACTGCAGCCTCCTGCACCCTCTCCCCTTTCCAGTTCCGAGACAGAGGCCACCATCAAAGGGATTTCTGTAATGGAACCCATCGCCTTTTCCGCAGCAAAATGTTAATAGGTAAAGGCGCTCCTGGAAGGCCCTTCTCCTCCTCTCCCTCCCCCGCTGCAGGATTAACTCCGCAGGACTGGCCAGCGCTTGACTGCCCTGCGGGGCTTGTTCCTGCTTGGCTTTCATCCTTAACTCCATTTCCACTTCAAAGGCTTTCCAGAGAAGAACAGCCGGATGGATGGATCTCGGAACGGTGGACCTGGAGGGCGTCTTCTGAAATGAGTGGCTCCGCTTGTCCTGGCTGCCGCTGGAGTTCGGCTGGGCCAAGGCAACTGGCAAGGAAAACCTGTCTCCAGGAAAGGAGAAGGCCCAGGCTCAATGATAGAGAAGGAGAAGAAGAAGAGATTGGATTTATACCCCATGGCCCTTCACTACCCAAAGGAGTCTCAGAGCGGCTTACAAACTCCTTTCCCTTCCCCTCCCCACAACAGACACCCTGTGAGGTAGGTGGGGCTGAGAGAGCTCTGACACAAACTGCTCTTTTTCAAGGACCGCTGTGCCAGAACTATGGCTTGCCCAACGTCATCCAGCAGGTGCAAGAGTAGGAGGAGTGGGGAATCAAACCTAGTTCTCCCATATTAGAGTCCGCACGGCACCAAACTGGAGTCTCAGAGCGGCTTATGATCTCCTTTTCCTTCCCCTCCCCACAACAGACACCTTGTGAGGTAGGTGGGGCTGACAGAGCTCTGACAGAAACTGCTCTTTTTTCAAGAACAGCTCTTGTCAGAACTACGGCTTGCCCAAGGTCATCCAGCAGGTGCAAGTGGAGAAGTGGGGAATCAAACCTGGTTCTCCCATATTAGAGTCCGCGCACTTAACCACGACACCAAACTGCAGTGTCAGAGCGGCTTGCGATCTCCTTTCCCTTACCCTCCCCACAACAGACACCCTGTGAGGTAGGTGGGGCTGAGAGAGCTCTGACAGAAACGGGTCTTTTTCAAGGACAGCTCTGACAGAACTATGGCTTGCCCAAGGTCATCCAGCAGGTGCAAGCGGAGTAGTGGGGAATCAAACCCGGTTCTCCCAGATTAGAGTCCGTGCACTTACCCTCTACACCAAACTGCACGCCAAGCATCTGCTTGGCATGCAGAAGGTCCCAGGTTCAATCCCCGGCATCTCCAGGGAGCCAGTTTGGTGTAGTGGTTAGGAGAGCACACTCTAAGCTGCGAGTTTGATTCCCTGCTCCTCCACTGGTGCGACCTTGGGTCAGTCACAAGTTCTTTCAGAGCTGTTGTGTCACAGGCGGTCCTCGAGAGAGCTCTCTCAGCCCCACCCGCCTCACAGGGTGTCCGTCGTGGGGAAGGGAAGGGAAAGGAGATTGTAAGCGGCTCTGAGACTCCGACTCCTTTGGGTAGTGAAGGGCAGGGTAGAAATCCAATCTCCTCCTCCTGCTCTTAGAGAATGATGCAGATGTATCTTATAGAGCTTCTCTGTTTGCTTTAGCAGCATCCATAATTAGATCTAAGGGGCTGGTTACCTGATTAAATCTGTTTTAGCCTTTTGATTTGTCGTCAATTTGAATCCGATTCTAAGGGTGGTAAATTTTTATTATCGCTATGGTGTCTTTTGTATTTTGTAATGGGCGACGGCTTAATACAATTCTTCTTGTTTGGTGTAGTGGTTAAGTGCGCGGACTCTAATCTGGGAGAACTGGGTTTAATTCCCCACTAACCCTAACCCCACCCACCTCACAGGGTGTCTGTTGTGGGGAGGGGAAGGGAAAGGAGTTTGTAAGCCGCTCTGAGACACCTTTGAGTTGTGAAGGGCAGGATATAAATCCAATTTCTTCTTCTTGTTGTTAAGTGGGGCTGAGAGAGCTCTTGACAGAAACTGCTCTTTTTCAAGGACAGCTCTGACAGAACTAGGCTTGCCCAAGGTCATCTGGGTTTGATTCCCCCTAACCCTAACCCCACCCACCTCACAGGGTGCCTGTTGTGGGGAGGGGAAGGGAAAGGAGTTTGTCAGCCGCTCTGAGACACCTTTGAGTAGTGAAGGGCGGGGTATAATTTTTTTTTTTTATTTTTTATTTTAACCTTAGATTTGATATACCGCCCTAACCCCCGAAGGGGTCTCTGGGCGGTTCACATTATGTCGTTCTAAGAACTTACTATCCCTATCTAAGGCCACATCTGAAGTTAGGGGTGGGACTTCCTATCAGCACCCTAGTGATATATGCGCTCCTTCTATTTACATTTTTTTTTTCTCCTCCGGCTCGGATCGGCTTCTTGATGTTCCTCGGCTGCTGGCGTGGCGTCCTCTCTCTTCTAGTTGTTAAGTGGGGCTGAGAGAGCTCTTGACAGAAGCCGCTCTTTTTCAAGGACAGCTCTGACAGAACTACGGCTTGCCCAAGGTCATCCAGCAGGTGCAAGTGGAGGAGTGGGGAATCAAACCCAGTTCTCCCAGATTAGAGTCCGCGCACTTAACCACGACACCAAACTGGCTGTCATTAAAGAAGGACCAAGGAGACTGTGATGTTGAAGACCTTCCTCTACCTGATGGACCGATGCTCCGATTCCGTCTAAGGCAGCTTTACGTGTGTTCAACTCAAAGGCTGTTTTAGCAACACGCAGAGAGGTCTCACTCACAGGAAACAAATGGACAAGAATCGCAACCCTCTCTGAGCCTAATTAGAGATTTTAAATTGCGGTCTTCTAGGGGTCCCCCCCCATCATTGTTTTATTTACAGCGAAAGCTGCCTTGAGTTCTGCAAAACAGAAAGGCGGCGAATCAGTGTTTTAAACAAAGACATAAGTAAATTATTCACAAAACGGTGCACTGTGCTCTCGGATACAGGTGGGGCCCTTTGAGCATGGCAGACTTGGAGGGCAGGCCTATAAACCGTCGCCAGGAAACTAGGCAACGGACTCTAACTTAGAAGAGAGCTCCGACAAGCAGAATCTGGATTGCAAGAGGTCAACCGCTTCTTCTTGAAAGCTCTGACCAGCGTATTTCAGAAAAGCTGGACATAGAATCGTAGAATGTCAGAGTTGGAAGGGACCTTGTAGGTCATCTAGTCCAACCCCCTGCACTCTGCAGGAGCACAGACGAAAGACAGCCCTACATACCTACAACATACCCGAAAGATGGTCGCCCAGCCTCCGCTTGAAAACGTCCAGAGAAGGAGCATCCACCACCTCCCGAGGCAGTCTGTCCCACTGCTCAACCACTCTCACAGTCAGGAAGTTTCTCCTGATATTTAGCCGGTAACGACTCCCTTGTCATTCCCACCCATTAGATCTAGTCTTGCAATCCGGAGCAAGAGAGAACAGATCTGCTTCATCTTCTACATGACAGCCCTTCAAATACTTGAAGACTGCAATCGTGTCCCCTCTAAGCCTTCTCTTTCCCAGGCTAAACAGACCCAACTCTTTCAGCCTTTCCTCATAAGACTTGGATTCCAACCCTCTCACCATCCTGGTTGCCCTCTTCTGGACACGCTCGAGCTTGTCAGCGAAAGGAGGACACGAGAGAGGTTTCTGGAATTATGCATGGGGTAACGTCTTCTCCCAGAAGACTACAATTGGAGGGCATCCCAGGAAGCCGATGGGCAGGAGGTTCAGGACAGACAAAAGGAAACATTACTTCACACAGAAAGTGATTAAAATGTGGATTGGGCTGCCAGAGGATGTAGTTATGATCAACGCTCCTTCTAAGCCGTGGAGTCCTGTGAGCAAAAATTCTGCTTTGTGAGCAACTGGTGTTAAAGTTGTGAGCGAGCGATTGGGCTCCTGCATAAAGTAGTTTGCTCTGGAGCCCTCCTTTCCTGAGCTAAGACAAAAATGTGTGAGCCGGAGGCTAAAAAAACCATGAGCCAGCTCACAGAAACTCAGCTTAGGGGGAAACACTGGTGATGACCACAGGAATGAAGAGTTTTAAAAGGGGATTAGATGGATTCGTGGAGGATAAGTCTATCAGTGGCTGCTAGCCATGATGGCTGAAGGGAGCCTCCACATTCAGAGGCACTAAACCTCTGAATCCCAGAGCCAGGAGGCAACCTCAGGGGAAGGCCTTGGCCTCTATGCCCTGTTGTTGGCTGTCCAGAGGAACTGGTTGGCCACTGTGTGAGACAGGAAGGTGGACTAGATGGACCCTCACTGGTCTGATCCAGCAGGGCTCTTCTGAGCTTCTTATCAGGGGAAGGCCTTGGTCTCTGTGCCCTGTTGTTGGCCCTCCAGAGGAACTGGTTGGCCACTGTGTGAGACAGGATGCTGGACTAGATGGCCCCTCACTGGTCTGACCCAACAGGGCTCTTCTGAGGTTCTTATGAAGGCCTCAGCCTCCCTGCCCTGTTGTTGGCCTTCCAGAGGAACTGGTTGGCCACTGTCTGAGACAGGATGCTGGACTAGGTGGACCACTGGCTTGACCCAGCAGGCCCCTTCTGATGTTCTTACCTTGAAGGCTCGGAGCACAGCCACGGGGTCGTCGTTGGTCAGGCGGGTCACAAGGGCAGGCCACGTCCGATGAACCAATGGGAGGAAGTGGTTCTGGTGAGGATGCAGGACTGTCACGCAAAGCTCCAAGACATCCAGAACCTGGCGGGGCGAGGAGGAGTCAAAGAAGAAACACAACAGACTGACTGGTACGCATGTCGGGGGGGGGCAGAGTTATGATCAGTGTTCCCTCTAAGATGAGTTAGTGTGAGCTGGCTCACAGCTTTTTAGCCTCCAGCTCACACATTTTTGTCTTAGCTCGGGAAGGATGGGGCTCCAGAGCAAACTAATTTATGCAGTTAGCGAAATCGCTCGCTCACAACTTTAATGCCCGTAGCTCACAAAGTATAATTTTTGCTCACAAGACTCCACAGCTTAGAGGGAACATTGGTTATGTCTGCCCAGTACAGAAGTGGGAAGATAACGACTGCCTTGCTGTCATACATGTTTGATTACTGCAACCCACCCGAAGTGGGGCTGCACTTGAAGACAATTTGGCGAAGTACTAGAAACTGTCAGCAAATGTAGAATTTAATATGTTGTCGGAGGCTTTCACGGCCGGAGTTCGTTAGCTGCTGTAGATTTTCCGGGCTGCCCGGCCGTGGTCTTGGCATTGTAGGACCTGACGTTTCGCCAGCAGCTGTGACTGGCACCCTCAGAGGTATAACACAGAAAGAGGGAGTACTCTCTGTGTCAAGGTGAGAAGAAGAAAAATGGTAGGCAGGTAATTTATATCTACTCAGGAAGGTGGGGTAGGGCTGAGTCATTATCTTGTAGACCCACCTTCCTGAGTAGATATAAATTACCTGCCTACCATTTTTCTTCCCACCTTGACACAGGGAGTACTCCCTCTTTCTGTGTTATACCTCTGAGGATGCCAGTCACAGCTGCTGGTGAAACGTCGGGTCCTACAGTGCCAAGACCACGGCCGTACAGCCCGGAAAACCTGCAACAGCTAAAGGTAGAATTGTTAGGCACACAGAGGGAAAATCAGCATGGCTTCTGCAAAGGGGAGTCCTGCCTCACCAACCTTTTTGAGTTGTCTGAGAAAGTGAAAAAGCATTTGGCCAACAGTGACTCAGTAGACATTATATACCCTGGACTCTCAAAAAGATTTTCGACACGGTAACTCGCCAAAGACTCCTGAGTCAACTTAGCAGTCATGGGTGTCCCGCTGCGGGCTCCTCCGCAGCCTCACAGGCCGCTGCAGCGGGACTGGCGCGACCCACGCCGGGCTCTCCACGAGCCCCAAGCAACGAAAGCGATGGAAGAGGACTCACCGAGGACTCCGGAGACGTCAGGCTCCTCCCAGCGGCAGCGGAGAGCACAAGGGAGGGAAGACAGGGAAAAGACGTAGCCGGGGAACGGGTCCGTGGCGGACTCCCCCCCTCGGCAGCCGATACAGGGGAGGCGAGCCCGGCCAATGAGAGAGAGACACGTGGAGGGGTCCAGCCTTACCAATCAAGGGGCTGGAGACGCTGACGTAGCTGACAGCGGTTCTCTCGGGTCCACAGGAAGCGGACACTCCCCTATCCGCCCAAGCGCAGAACAGGCAACCCAGGGAGACGGAGGGAGGCGGGACATATTGGGAAACTAACCATCGAAATGAGGAACTTGGTGATGGGCACAATGAAGAACCAATAGGATTAGGTAACACAGAAAGGGGGGTGTGACTAACAGGGGGAAGGAGGGATATAAGGAGGGACGCTGAGCAGTACCGGGGAGGAATGTCGGAGTCAGCTGATGTGCCAGATGGCTGTTGTGTGAGACAGGATGCTGGACTAGATGGACCCACAGTGGTCTGATCCAGCAGGGCTCTTCTTATGAAGGCCTCGGCCTCTATGCCCTGTTGTTGGCCCTCGGGAGGAGCTGGAAACTGTGACTGGGTCCAAAGCTCCCTCTAAGCTGTGGAGTCCTGTGAGCAAAGATTCTACTTTGTGAGCCACTGGCATTAAAGTTGTGAGCGAGGTGAGATTCGGCTGCTGCATCAATTAGTTTGCTCTGGAGCCCTCCTTCCTGAGCTGAGACAAAAAAAAATGGTGAGCTGGAGGCTAAAAAATGGTGAGCCAGCTCACACTCACTCAGCTTAGAGGGAACCCTGGGTCATAATTTGGCAGCCAGGGTCCTTACTGGGACCAGCCACACGGACCTGATAAAGGTGCATTACTGCAGCCCAGGGGTCCCCAACCCTTTCTGACCCTGCGGGTACCTTTGGAATTCTGACACAGGGTGGTGGGCGCAACTACAAAATGGGTGTCACAGGAGGCAGAGCACTGCACGCGGAGGAAGAGGGGTAGTTTTTAAAAAGACACTGGGAAAGTGTCTGCTGGTACTGGGTGAGGTGCCAATGGCTTCTTCTCTCCCTGTGGCAAATGGCTGCAGGGCTTCAGGTGAAGTCTGGATGCACGGGGCAGGGTTCTCTTCCTCCCCTGCAACAGAGGAGGAACCCCCGAGACTGAGGGTCCCGGCAGCAGACCAGGAAAGGTCTTAGAGCACAATCCTCACAAAGGGTAGGATGGGGAGGGGAGGAGAGGGGAGTCGGGGAGGGGAGGACCTTTGCTCTAAGCGTTTGGGGACAGGGGAGCTGGAGTGTCGAGGGAGCTCTGCCCGCTCCGAGGAGTACCTTCAGGCGCACGCGAAGGCTCTTGTCCGAGAGCAGGTGGACACAGCGCTCCATCACTTCTTTGGCCACCTGGGCGTGGGCGGGCAACGGAGTCTCCACCTCCGGGCTGTGGTCGTTCGACTCAGGCGCCGAAGTAGGCGGAGGCTCTCCTGGGGAAAAGGGAAAGGGAGGAGAGACACGTTTGGATGTTCCGAGTCCAGTTTGGAAGCTTCAGGCTTCCGCCGAGATACCTGAAGGCCAATCTTAACCTTGCCACAAAGGCAGAGAAGGAGGTCTAGATGGGGTTTCTGCCTACACGGATGGGTCTTCCGTGCCCCTTTCATGCACAGTGAAGAGCACACTTTCAGTGCCCTTCGCGACAGGATTTTACCATGCCAGATGGCAAAAGCCACTTGCAAACCGTCACTAAAGTGCACTGAAAGCGCATTAATTGGTGTCTGTGAAAGCACCCCCGGGGTACAGAAAGAACAGCATCTTGCAAACTGGAAAGAAGAAGAAGAGAGAAGAGATTGGATTTATACCCTGTCCTTCACAACCCAAAGGTGTCTCAGAGCGGCTTACAAACTCCTCTCCCTTCCCCTCCCCACAACAGACACCCTGTGAGGGAGGTGGGGCTGAGAGAGCTCTTGACAGAACTGTCCTTGAGAGAACAGCTCCGACAGAACTACGGCTTGCCCAAGGTCATCCAGCAGCTGCAAGTGGAGGAGTGGGGAATCAAACCCGGTTCTCCCAGATTAGAGTCCGCGCACTTAACCACGACACCCAACTGGCTCTGTTAGACTTAAGGGCACGTAAGTGTTCTTAAGAGGGGGTGGCAATCCCCACCCATCGCCCCCCTCCCACTGAAGGACCCCCAGTAGCCTGTCCCTCCTACAGCACACCCTCAAGCAAGGGGGGGGGGGTTCAGAGGCCGCAGCAGGCAGGGGAAATGTATAGAAATTACCCCCCTCCCCAAGAAAACTTAAGTTTTCTCAGATTCAAGTCCAGCAGAGACCACAAGATTTGGGGTGGGGGGGAGGGATGAACGTTTGAGAGTTAAATCTCCCTTTGCCAGATACAAGTCTCAGTGGCACCATTGGCACCAGGCCGTCAAGCCCTTTCTAAAATTAAAAAAGAGGAGATTGGATTTATATCCCGCCCTTCCCTACCCAAAGGAGTCTCAGAGCGGCTCACAAACTCCTTTCCCTTCCCCTCCCCACAGCAGACAGACACCCTGTGAGGGAGGTGGGGCTGAGAGCTCTCTCTTGAGAGGACTGCTGTTGTGAGAACAGCTCCGAGAGAACTTGTGACTGACCCAAGGTCACTCCAGCAGCTGCATGCCGAGGAGGAGTGGGGAATCAAACCTGGTTCTCCCAGATTAGAGTCTGCGCTCCTAACCAGCACACCAAACTGGCTCACCCCCCACCCCCGCCACTGCAGCCCGACGAAGACTGAGCAGGAGGCACAGGACATGGAGGCAAGGAAGTCGATCAGCTCGAACCACCAAGAGTGTCTCGTTCCTGGAGGGAGAGCTCTAGTCTGGAGATTCCCCCACAATTTATTCTCCCTCTCGCCTCTGACTCCCTGCAGGGTGTCGGCTGGCCTGCCCACATTTCCCAGTCCAACAAGGCACGACGTCACCAGCCTTTCCTTGTGTGTTCTTTCAAAAATCTCCCATTCCCCACACAAATCCCATCACCCTCCAAGTCCCGGGCTGGATGCATTCCTCCGCCCCCAACCAGGAACTGACCTTCCTCTCCTTCCTCCTCATCCGGCAGGTCACCCTCTGCGATCCGCTTCTGCCGCATGTACTCCCGGAAGAAGGCCTCCATTTCCTCCGCGGTGGGGACAGCGGCGGGCCTCTTCTCCGGCGGGCCAGCTCCTCCCAGCAAAGGGCCCCCGTCCTGTTCCGGGTTCCCGTCCGTTTGGTGCCCAGACGCAAACCAGGAAGCTGCCAAAAGGAGAAGAAAATTTTTTATTCCCAGGGTTCAATCCTGCACGATCCACAGTCTGTTCTTAACCCGGATAGGATGGTAGCAAACTAATACAATTTGGGTCGCCTTTATGTTTTTTTAATTGGGAAAAGAACCACCAGTTACACCGAATGGTGTGTGCCAAGGGTTGAATACGGGCCGATACAAATTGACTGGTCTGTCTCTTCGACGTCAAAGATTAGGCGGCGGTGAGAAGAGGAGGAGGAGGAGGAGATTGGATGCATACCCTGCCCTTCACTCGGAGTCTCAGAGCGGCTGACAAACTCCTTTCCCTTCCCCTCCCCACAACACACACCCTGTGAGGTGGGTGGGGCTGAGAGAGCTCTTGACAGAAACTGCTCTTTTTCAAGGACAGCTCTTATCAGAGCTATGGCTTGCCCAAGGTAATCCAGCAGCTGCAAGTGGAGGAGTGGGGAATTAAACCCAGTTATCCCAGATTAGAGTCTGGGCACTACACCAAACTTACCCAAAACATTAAAAAAGTATAAGAACAGCCCTGCTGGAGCAGATGAGTGGGCCATTTAGTCCAGCATCCTGCCTCACATAGAGGCCACAAAGTTACTCCAGAAGGCCAAGAGCAGGGTATAGAAGAAGAGATTGGATTTATACCCCATGGCCCTTCATTACCCAAAGGTGTCTCAGAGCGGCTTACAAGCTCCTTTCCCTTCCCCTCCCCACAACACACACCCTGTGAGGTGGGTGGGGCTGAGAGAGCTCTTGACAGAAACTGCTCTTTTTCAAGGACAGCTCTTATCAGAACTATGGCTTGGCCAAGGTCATCCAGCAGGTGCAAGTGGAGGAGGAGTGGGGGAATCAAACCCGGTTCTCCCAGATTAGAGTCCGCGCACTTCACCACGACACCAAACTGGCTTTTTCTGTCCACTCTCTCTCCCCCTTGCATAGTGCAGCAGAGATGTTCGCAGGAAAACCGGCACAGATTACAGACCCAAGACCCTGGGTCAACGTCTCCACTCATCTACCAAACCCTTTTTAGACCGACATTGCAGAGTTGCTAGGAGACGGGCCTGTACCTAAGGCGGGGCTTCCTTAAAGGGCCCCCGCTTCTTCTCAAAGGCATTTAAAGTGATCCTTTTTGAGAAGAAGTGGGGGGGGGGAGGTGGAACACACCCCTCTCCCTCCCCTCCTGCAAGACTTAAAGGGCCCTTCAGCAGATCGGTGGGGAGCTCGTGGCCTGCTGATCAGCTGGAGAGTTCTTTAAATCTTGCAGGAGGGGAGGGAGAGGGGTGCGAGACACCCCCTTCATTATGGCAAACAATGGCAGCCCCGCCAGAAATGGCAGCCCCGCCAGAAATTTTTTTTACCCCACAAGCAGTGTTCCCTTTAAGCTGAGTTAGTGTGAGCTAGCTCACAGTTTTTCAGCCTCCAGCTCACACACTCTTGTCTTAGCTCAGGAAGGATGGCTCCGGAGCTAACTGATTTCTGCAGCAGCCAATTCACTCGCTCAGAAAGCCAGTTTGGTGTAGTGGTTCAGTGCGCAGATGCTAATCTGGGAGAACCGGGTTCGATTTCCCACTCCTCCATTCGCACCTGGCTGGATGACCTTGGGCAAGCCATAGTTCTGATAAGAGCCATCCATGAAAAAGAGCAGTTTCTGTCAGAGCTCTCTCGGCCCCACCTACCTCCCAGGGTGTCTGTTGTGGGGAGGGGAAGGGGAAGTTTATAAGCCGCTGAGACTCCGAGTGAAGGGTGGGGTATAAATCCAATCCAGTTTGGTGTTGTGGTTAAGAGCGCGGACTCTGAACTGGGAGAACCGGGTTAGATTCCCCACTCCTCATAAGAACATAAGAGACGCCAATGTTGGATCAGGCCAAAGGCCCATCCAGTCCAACACTCTGTGTCACACAGTGGCCAGAAATACCAGGTGCCCGCAGGAGGTCCACCAGTGGGGCCAGGACATGAAAAGCCCTCCTCCACTTGCACCTAGTGGATGAACTTGGGCAAGTCATAGTTCTGGCACAGCTATTCTTGAAAAAAGAGCCGTTTCTGTCAGAGCTCTCTCAGCCCCACCTACCTCGCAGGGTGTCTGTTGTGGGGAGGGGGAGGGAAAGGAGATTGCTAGCTGCTCTGAGGCTCTGAGTGAAGGGTGGGGTGTATATCCAATCTCTTCTCTTCTTCTTCTTCTTAATGCCAGGAGCTCACACAGTAGAATTCTTGCTCACAAGACTCCACAGCTGAGAGGGAGCATTGCCCAAAAGCCCAAAAATCCTGGCTATGGGCCTTCGGGGAGGGCGGGATGCAAATCTAAAGAATAAATAAAAAATAAATATGAGAGCAAAATGAAACCAATGCAAAGACCTTTGGACCGGGGTGGTGGTGGTGGATGGGGGATAATATACTGACGCAGAAGGTTCCCTGCTGGGCAACAGTGGCGAAGCTCCTGCTTTTAATTACCTAGCATCGTCATGAGGGTGTGCATAACCCCAAGGAACAGAGGCGTGCGTTCGCTATGGCCCCGGTCGAGCGCGGCCAGGACGTCTTGAATCACGTCCCCCACCAAAGGCAGCACGTCGGCATCGGCGTGTCGGAGCATGGCCCCCAGGACCTGGGCGGCGTGCGGTTCGTGAGCCAGGCGGCGCAGGTGCAAGGAAATCCCGTCCACCAGGTAGTCCGCGTTCTGGCAGATGAGGCCCGGGACGGAGTCGTACTCGCAGGCCTGGCAGATGTCCGCCATAGTCCCCAGGGCCACCTGCCTGATCAGCAGGTTGCCGTCTCCAGCCTTTTCCAGAACTGGGTACAGGACGGAGATCAGGAGCTCGCGGAAGTCTTTCTCCAGTGCCAACGCGGAGCAGCCGACCCCTTCCAGCTGGATACAGATCTGCCAGATGTTGCCACTCATGGAGTGGACCAGGGGTCTCGGATTCAAAGCCGGAGGAAGCGGGAAGCCCTCGGCGGACGGGACGGCGAGGAGGCCGAAATATTCCCCGGCCGGCTCCGCTTCGAGCTCTTCCCCTTCGAGACTGGTGACCAGATGCCAGTTGCCCGGGTCCAGGTACTCCTCCAGCACGGAAGCGACGACCCCTTTGAGTTCGTTTCTGCTCAGTCCCGTTTCCCGCTCGCGGAGGACGTCCACGTCCCGGCCGGCAGCTCCGGCGATCAGCTCGTTGACCACCATGGCGGCCTGCTTCCGGTAGGCGGCGGACTCCCTGTAGAGCTCCGTGAAGTGGTCCACGAGTAGATAGAGGTCCCCGTAGTGCCCGAGAATCCGGCCAACCTGCCGCAGCAGGGAGAAGACCCGGTCCTCCGTGAAGAAGCGGAAGCGCTTCCGAGGGCCGCTCCCCTTGGGCGGGGGCTCCGTCGGACTCCCGGACAGCTCCCGCGGGCCTTCCGGGCCCCACCGGCGCCGCTCCTCCACGATCTTGACGTCCTTCGCGTCCATCTCCAGAACCTGCACGAGCGCTTTGGAGAGGCGCTGGAGGTGGGACGCGGAGTGGAGGACGACGTTCACCCTGGGGCCCAAGAGTTTCAGGTAGCCCACCAGCAGGTTCAAGGTCGCCACCTTGCCCTGGTCGTCCTGGGAGCTCATGAGGCGAGGAAGGGCCGTGGTGAGCGCGTGCAGTTCCTCCGAGAGGATGTCCGCCAGACGCCGCTCCTCGGCCACCGCCCCTCGGGCCGCCAGACCCCTGAGCGCCTCGTTGCTCCGGCTCCGCACCTCGGCGCTCTCGTCGTTCACGAGGCCGACCAAGGCTTTCACCAGCTGCCCTACGGATCCCGCCAAGGACCGGCTGCACTCGCTCAACAGCCGCGAGGACATGTCCGCCAGCTCCTTCCTCGCCTTCCAGTGCGGGTGAGCAGACACCCCGCCCACCACCTTCCGGATGACGACGGAGAGCTTGGCGGCGGTGCTCGTCACCCAGTCTGCATTTCTGTGCACCAGGAGCTCCGCTATCCGGCCGTCCCGATCCAGGGCCGGCTTCTCTCTCTCGGGCGGGACCCGGGCCAGCTGCTCGTCCGCCATCACCACGCCCAGCGCCCGAGAGAAGGCCCGGGTGGCCGAGACGACGACCGTGTGCCCCTGCTTCACGTCCCCCGTGATAACCCGGGACAGGGCGACGGAGACGCCCGGGAGGAAGGAAGCGAAGAGGTCGCCGAGGCGTCTCCGCTCCTCGCCATCCAGGGGCCGGTGGCGCTTCGGGCAGTCGCACTGCAGCAGGAGAGCCTGCAAGCAGTGCAAGGCGGCGACCTGGACGGCCTTGGCTCTCTCCCGCTCGGCGACGGCCAGCAGCAAGGAGACCGCGAAGCCCAGGTGGGGAAGGGCGGAGGGCCGGTAAAGGGTCAGGAGGACATCCCAGTCGGCCGCGTGGAGCAACGCCTCCAGGGTCCAGATCACGTCCTGCTTCAGCTCTTCGGACAGCGGGGCCGGCTGGCCGGGGCTGGCCGGAGACCCCAGGCAGAGGCAGAGCTCGGAGAACAGCTCCTGCAGCAGATCCGCCTTCCGCACGCGTGTGGCAGCAAGGACGAAGGCCAGGCATCCCACCACCTTCCGGACGACGCCCTCGCGCTTGGGCCCCGGCGTCTTGAGGGTGAACCTCAGCGGGAAGAGGACGTACTCCTGCAGCTCCTGCAAGGCGAGGTCGCTCACGGACTGCAGCTGCTCACGGAGGCGCTCCACATTCTCCGCCGTCTGGGCTTTGGTCAGCTGCACGCATGCTGGGCGCAAGGCCCCGAAGGCCTCCTGCGGGGTGTCGAAGACCGCCATGGCCTGGCTTTGGTTGTGCCCTTCTCTCAAGCGGCTTCGGTCCTCATCCTGTGGACGGGTAGAAGAGAGTCCCATGAGCATGGCTCCGTTTCTTCCCTGACAGAGAACACCCGCTCCCTAACAGAGCCCCTCTGGGACAAAACCAGGCCCCCTGGCGTTTGGGAAACCACCGAGTGCATGGCTGGCTCCCAACAAACATTCCACAGCAGGAGGAGCAGCGAGGGGCTGTGGCTCAGTGGAAGAGCCTCTGCTCGGCATGCAGGAGGTCCCAGGTTCAGTCCCCGGCAGCATCTCCAGTTAAAAGGACCAGGCAGGAGGTGATGGGAAAGGACTCTGCCGGAGACCCTGGAGAGCCCCTGCCAGTCTGAGTAGGCAATACTGACCTTGATGGACCCAGGGTCTCATTCAGTATAAGGCAGCTTCATGAAGAAGAGGAGACTGGATTCATACCCTGCTCTTTACTCGGAATCTCAGGGTGGCTGACAATCTCCTTTCCCTCCCCCTCCCCGCAACAGACACCTTGTGAGGCAGGTGGGGCCGAGAGAGCTCTGAGAACTGCTCTTGAGAGAACAGCTGAGAGAACTTGTGACTGACCCAAGGTCACACCAGCAGCTGCATGTCGAGGAGGAGTGGGGACTCAAACTGAGAGCCACAAGCCTCTCATGACCTCTGACTCAGGGCAGGCTTCCAACCGCCTTGGGCAGCTTACCTTGGGCGGGAATGGCATGTGAGGGAGAGGGGCAGGACGCCAAGGATAGAACAAACGGCCCCGGGAGAGAACGCTTGCTTGTCTGTGGGCACAAGCGGCAGGAAGGAACTACTCAGTGACTTACGTGAAGTGCTTTTTGAACACCTCAGAGCCAGTTTGGTGTAGTGGTTAGGAGCACGGACACTAATCTGGGAGAACTGGGTTCGATCCCCCACTCCTCCACATGCAGCTGCTGGTATGACCTTGGGTCAGTCAAAAGTTCTTTTAGAGCTGTTCTCTCAAGGGCAGTCCTTGAAAGAGCTCTCTCAGCCCCACCTGCCTCACAGAGTGTCTGTTGTGGGGAGGGGAGGGGAAGGGAGAGGAGACTGTCAGCCACTCTGAGACTCCTTCAGTTAGTGAAGGTCCCAGGTTCAATCCCCAGCAGCATCTCCAACAGTGTTTCCTCTAAGCTGAGTGTGAGCTAGCTCAGTCTTTAGACTCTGGCTCACACATTTTTCTCTTAGCTCAGGAAGGATGGCTCCAGAAGAAGAAGAGATTGGATTTATACCCCGCCATTCACTACCCAAGGGAGTCTCGGAGCGGCTGACAAACTCCTTTCCCTTCCCCTCCCCACAACAGACACCCTGTGAGGTCTTGACAGAAACTGCTCTTTTTCAAGGACAGCTCTGACAGAACTACGGCTTGCCCAAGGTCATCCAGCAGGTGCAAGTGGAGGAGTAGGGAATCCAACCCGGTCCTCCCAGATTAGAGTCCGGGCACTTAAACCATGACACCAAACTGGCAACCTAATTTATGCAGTAGCCAAATCCCTCGCTCATGACTTTAATGCCAGTAGTAGCTCACAAAGTAGGATTCTTGTTCACAAGACTCCACAATTTAGAGAGAGCATCGACTGCAATTCCGGGAGATGGTTTGGCAATGCTGCCTCCAGGGTCCTGAGCACCTGAAACCTGTTTGGTGTCATGGTTTAAGTGCGCAGACTCTAATCTGGGAGAACCGGGTTTGATTCCCCACTCCTCCCCTTGCACCTGCTGGATGACCTTGGGCAAGCCACAGTTCTCTCAGAGCCGTCCTTGAAAAAGAGCCGTTTCTGTCAAGAGCTCTCTCAGCCCCACCTACCCCTCACCGGGTGTCTGTGGTGGGGAGGGGAAGGGAGAGGAGTTTGTAAGCCGCTCTGAGACTCCTTTGGGTAGTGAAGGGCGGGGTGTAATTCCAATCTTCTCTTCTTCTTTCACAAGAGACACGGCCAAGGGTCGAGCCCGGGAAGCTCGACACGCCAAGCAAAACAGTAAAGAGGAGGGCCCGAAAGAAGAACACGTGTTTAAGACCAGCAGAAACTTTCGCGGGTCAGCGCATCCAGACGTGCTCCGCTTTTTTGCACATTCCTGCGGCAAGCAAGAGGCTGACCCGGATCCCCTGTTCAAAAAAGACCCCCCCCCCAAGCCGGAGGAGGAGGAAAAGCAAGTGCGCACGCGCAGAGCCTCCCCGCGTATCGCGCGTGCGTGGCCGGCGGCTCCTGCCCGTTTGAGCCTCAGGAGCCGAGAGCGCCTGCGCGCCGTACTTGCCGCCTCTCGGCCGTCCAGCCACTCGGCGCGCGCGCGCGCTCTGCCGCTTGCGTTCCCTTCCCCTCCGGCGACCCGTAGCCCGGTGTCCTTTAACCCCTGGCGGCGCCGGCGCGACGAGCTGGGCGGCCATTTTGTGGCGGTTGGCGGCTGGCTGAGGGGACAGGGCCCCCGGTGAGGGCAGGGCCGGGCTCGCAGCGGGCGGGGCCGGGGCCCTGGGCGGCCTCCCTCCCTCCCTCCCTCCCCGCGACATGTCCTCCTTCTCGGAGTGGGCGCTGGAGCGGAAGCTGTCGGAGCTGAGCAACTCGCAGCAGAGCGTCCAGACGCTGAGCCTCTGGCTCATCCACCACCGCAAGCACGCCGGGCCCATCGTCACCGTCTGGCACCGCGAGCTCCGTAAGGGTGAGGAGGTGGCCGGGCGCGGCGGCAGGCCCACCGGGGGCTCCCCCCACGCGCCGCTGCTCAGCCCGGCCGCCGGGAAAAGCCAGCATGGCTGAGCGGCGGCGTAAAGGGGCCCTCGTCACGCCGCGCAGCCGCCAGTGGCCCCGGGAAGGGGCCTCGTTCCGCCCACCCAGTCGGGACAGTCGCTGCAGATGCAGATTTCTGGGAGGGGGGGTAGGGAGCCAATGGTCCCTCTAACCTGCGGGGTCTCGTGAGCAAAAATTCCACTGTGGGAACTCCTGGCATTAAAGTGGTGAGCGAGCGATTTGGCTGCTGCAGGAATTCGTTCGCTCTGGAGCCCTCCTTCCTGAGCTAAGACAAACGTGTGTGAGTCGGAGGCTAAAAAACTGTGAGCTACCTCACACTTAACTCAGCTTAGAGGGAACACTGCTCCTAAGTATATTGCTCCCACACAACTTTAATGCTAGTAGCTCCCAAGCAATGCTCCCTCTAAGCTGTGGAGTCTTGTGAGCAAAAGTTCTGCTTTGTGGGCTACTACCGGCATTAAAGTGAGCGAGCGATTTGGCTGCTGCATAGATCAGTTGGCTCTGGAGCCCTTCTTCCTGAGTTTAGACAAAAATGGGTAAGCAGGGGGGCTGAAAAACTGTGAGCGAGCTCAGACTCACTCAGAAGGAACACTAGTAGGGAGTATTTATTGTTCTAGTGTTTTAAATGTTGTTAGCTGCCTTGAGCCAGTCCTGTGGCTAGGTGGGATACAAATAAAAATAATTTTAAAAATAGTACAATTAAAAATAGCGCCTGGGCTGGCTGTTGGCACGGAGGGAGCTGGTCGGGTTGTACCGGAATCTGCGTATCTGATGTTTGCCCTTTTTGCATCACACAGTTAAGCTTGGCAGTCTTCAGGGGCAATCTTCAGATCTCCTGGGAATTTCAACTGATCTCCAGGCTGTGCAGATCCTAGTCCACCTGCAGGAAACGGCAGCTTCAGAGAAAGGCCTTTATACCCTTTGAGGCCCCTCTCTAGGCTCCACCCCCAAATCTCCAGGAATTTCTCAGCCTGGAGTTGGAACCCTGGAAGAGTTCCGCAGGGTTCAGATTCATAGTGGTCCTCCTGGCCCAGTTACCATTTCTTACTCTCGTTTCTTGGTTGTAGTATTCTAATCTGTTTTAATGAGGATCATGGTAGATGTAAAAACATTAATAAAGATCCAAGTTAAAAAAAAAATCTTCAAAGTTTTCATCAAGTATTTATTTAGGCTATTTGTTATCCAGCTTTCCATCTCAGTAAGGACTGAAAAGAGCTTGCAAAATATAGTCTACAACGAACAAGAAAAATACTACAAACAAAAGCACCAATGCAAGGTGGCCGCAACCAATGCTCCCTCTAAGCTGTGGAGTCTTGTGAGCAAAAATTCGACTTTGGGAGCTACTGGCATTAAAGTTCTGAGCAAGCGATTTGGCCACTGCATGAATTAGTTTGCTCTGGAGCCCTCCTTCCTGGGCTAAGACAAAAATGTGTGAGCTGGAGCCTAAAAAACTGTGAGCTAGCTAATTCAGCTTAGAGGGAACACTGGTCACATCCCCCCATTTTCGTAACACATTTTGGAAAGAATTGGTTGCTATGTAGTCTGTGAAATAACAGCAGTGGCCTTCCTGATGTCTTAAAGTGTTTATCTGGTTGGCAGGCACCAGTGAGAACACTCAAGTGGCTTGTTTTCCTGGACAGCACCTTCAAAAAGCCTTGCTGAAATTAGCAGAGCTGTCACCCTAATCTTCCCCATTTTGGGGGGGGGGGTGAGTGGGGAAATGTATGCGAGGGTGGGGGGCAGAGGCAGCATACAGAGTTTCAGTCGCCTTGGAGAAAGGCTAAAGTTTAAAGCAAATGCATCTGTAGCTCCTTTGGAGAAACCCGATGGCCTCAAAAGGGACAAAGGTCTTTTGTCACTGGAGCAAAGATGTTAAGCCTTTGTGGCTACTAGAAGTGGTGTTTGACTACCAGCCCAGTTGAAATCTGTAGGCAACAGTTGCACTTCTATCTGTGAAGGGAAAGCTTTCTCGTTTTGCTTTGGGGGCACCATTTTCCTGTGCCACCTGTCGTCTCTAATGCATAGCCAGAAGTTGAAGTTAGAATACTGTTTAGGCCAGGTATCTGTGTCAAGAGTGCTTGAGATGTTTTGGGAGGAGGGAGAAGACGAAACAAAGCTGAAAACACAATTCTGAGCAGTTGTGCAAAGGAGATGTTGATGGGAAAGAGACAATTTTAAGTAAGCATCGAAGGCTTGACTTGTCATGCTTGACTTTTCATGGGTTCTTGAGAAGGATATGAAGAAGTAATAGATACATGGCAGTAATAAATGCAGGTAGAGTCTCATAGCACACGTTTGCTTGATCTTGCACAGCAGATGAAAAGTCACTCTTGTCTTTTTCTGGATTAATTTTGTTCTGTGTTACCATCCCACTTCATAATCATTTGTATGGTAAGACTAGAAGTGCCCTGGCTGGGTCACCAAAAATAGGTTTAAAATTGGTAAATCTGTGCTGAACTCAGAGTAAAAGAAAGAAGCGTAATGTAAGAAGAGTACAACAGATAAGGATGTTGTACGGAAGACTAATGCACATCTTTCCCATTAGGGAAACAAAACCGAAATACCCACACCAGCATGTCCTAAAAGTAACTTTTCAGTTACTTTTCAGATTAGTTTTACAGTTATATCAAAATTACTGATTTAATTATACTATTAGAAACACATCATAGATAATTATGAAATTATTGCAAGGTGAATTATCTCCAGTTTAATAGTTAATCATCATATCTGGACAACTTTTCTGTTGTACTTTATTGGAAGGAGAAAAATAATCATTACCTTAATAAAAACAATTTAAATAGTTCCAGGTGGACACGAAAGCTCATACTTTGGATATGCTGCCATGGGGGTTGGGGAGGTCAGTTGTATTCTAATTGCCATTGCATTCCTTCTGTGCTTCATTGCTGCTGTAATGCTTATCTCTAAGTTCTGCAGGTTGTGGGATGTTGATGTCTAGTTTCAAGGGAGCTATGGGAGCGAGCTTGGTTCCCAGCTTCAGTGCTAATGGCCGGAGGGCTTTCTCCCCCTCGCGGAAGTGTGGCTAATTGGCCAGGGCAGTGGTGTGTGTGTGTGCATACAAATACCCTATATCCTATTATGGTCCATGGCAGCCGCCATTCTTAACAGTGCCTATGTTAATGCATCTATAGCTCTTCCATAAAGTTTTACCTTTCCTGATAAGCATCTACTACGTTGTTGGCTGTGGGTTCTGACAAAACCTTTGTTGGTCTTAAAGGTGCCACTGGACTTTAACAATTTAAATAGTTTTATTTAACTAAACAATAACATAGTGTATGTATTTTTGTATTTGCTTAAACATCCATGTTTGTTAACTGATGTGAGTAAACAAAATATCTTTTTTTAAAAAAAGTTTAGACATCAGCCCAATCCACACATGAAAAACTTTAAATACTGTCCTCTGTAGCTCACTCATCTTCATCTTCTTGTTTGTTCATAGTTTGGAAAAGAAAAACAAGCTTTCCTGCTTTATCGGGTCCCGAACAATTTTTCAATTTAGAATGAATGAGTCCAAAGGAAGAGAATATTCTTTCTACACCAGCAGAAAAAGCTACTGCTGTTAAAAGTGAAATCATTACTTCAACAGTCTCTAAATCCAGGAGCTTAAATGACTTCCACCAGTTCACTGGTGTGACTTTCTTTCATGCATCATCAGCAAACCTATATTTCTTGAAGGGTTCCTCCTTCGCTCTGGAGTTTATTATAATTGGCATTACAGATGGATGATTGCTCGGTACCCATGTCATAACTAACTCCTCTTCCTCAGCACTTAAGGTTTGAACCTGGTACTGAATATTGGTACTATTTGCGAGAAAATGAGTTGGAGACAGTGCTTGTCCCATTCATTTTTTAATGGTTGTGAATGGATTAATGGAATTCATTTACCAAAAAATTTAAACATTGCATGAATATACAGCTTCATGCTGCATAATTAAAAGATAATCCTCATTTCATGATTAATAACCTTTGGGCTATAACGTGTCTTAAGTAGAAAATTATCTTTAGATAGATTTTTCCTCAAAAAAGCATTTTATTAAAAGCATCCAATTTAAACTGTAAAAATCAATTTTTTAAAGTTTTCTTTAAAAAAAAAATCACTGATTTTTATCCACCCTGCTTGTAAGGCTAGCCACCAGGCTGAGAAGCACGTTACAAAATATATCTGATGTATAAACATACTAACATGCTGTCAGTCTGTAGGCTTCTGGTGTTTGCCCGTCAGAAGTTGCCGCCATGCTGTCAGGGGTGGAGACACCATTTTCTGTTCATTATTGCCTCTTGACTGACACCTTGTCAATGTAATTGCGCCGCTTGGTTCTGGAGCCCGTTGGTGGAAGGTCGGCTCCATGTAGCCAGCACTTCAGTGCTTGTTAGGGTATGGGTCGTGCAGGTGCCTGCACACAAGAAGACTATTGTAGGCCCCCTGAAACCAGTGTATTGTCAAGGGGAGGTATAGGCCCAAGGATGGTGTGAACATCAGAGGGAAATCTAAAAGAATTCTACTTCACCTTTTCAGCACTTCACTTATCTGCGTAGCGGTCTTCAGGAGACAAATTGTGCCAGAGCTGAGGTTCAGGGCAACAAAAAGCAGAAACTATAATACTTTACCAGAATCAGCAGATACTTTTAATGCCTTACCAGCATCAGTCCCCCTGGCAGTTCTAGGAGGAGGAGCGGAAAGGTGGTTCACAGAGGTGCCGCCGAAGATTGCTCCATTGCCTTCGTTTATTTGTCTTGCTTCTCCATTCGTTCCAAGGGCAGAGGCTGTGGAGCCGAGTCTCCTGATGATGGGCTGCCCTCATCTCCCTGAAATGCTGCCAGAAATCCAGCTTCACCGTGCAGGTGATGGATGGTGGCCTTTGAGTTCAAGCAGTGACTTCACTTGCCTTCGGAGAA